TTGCCATTCTTCTTATTATTATGAGCTCTATCACAAGGAAACCCCGCTGCTTTGCAAAGCATTATATGAAGACACTGCCAGGCCATGGCGCCTGCAAAGAAGGGGCTCGGCCCCTTGTTCCACATGCGTGCAGCGCGGGTGCCATGGCCACGATGGGAGTTTCTTTTTTGAGGGATGCGTAGAAAAAAAGCCTAAACCCTAGGGATCCTGCAAGGTTCAGTTGGGATTTGTGGAGTCTGGATGGCTCCTGGGTTGCCGGTTTGGCAAATTTGGGGTATTTGGTGCTGAGGTGATGAAAAGGGAAATTCACCAGTGGAGTATCTGTGACATATCTGTGACATTGCCAAAGCCTCTCCAGCTGCGCAGATGACACACTTGCTGCGAATTAGGGTTTAGGGTTTAGGGTACAAAAGCTCTCAGGTGTTGCAAGATAGGTTTTCGTGTTTGTTGATTGCAGATAGGCTTCGGACGAAAGCTTCCTCGCATCTTGTGCAAGTACTCAAGACAGGGAGAGAATCTGGCATGAAGTATACATCAGTTGTTTTGTGGTAGATATCCCTCCACCAATCCTCCACTCCCACAACTCAAGTTCCCCTTAGGTGGTGAGCCAACCCCAAAAAAACCAAAATTGCGAGCCAGCTGAGGGTAGATGGTGAAAAGGACCTGAAGCTGTTTTCTTCCTCGCCAACTTGATGCTTGTGATCATGAGGTTTGCGTTGTCTTGCAGGGTGGGTAGGCATGCTTTTTCATCTAAAGATTTCCTGCCACTGCTTCGTCACACTGCTACAGTGCTCGCACTGGCCACCCCAAGCCCGAAAGCATTAGAACAGCTTAAAGCCGAAGTTCGAAGACTTAACAGCTTCAACCCTGAGCCCTATACTGGAACCTTTCAACCTCTATGCCCAAGTGAGCCAGATTGTGGTCAACAACCTCGGTGGGCTGCGCTCCCAAGAGCAACCCCAGGAGAGCCATGTGGTTTGGCGTTGCGCGTTAGGGTGTTTGGTCCGAGAGTTTGAGAGGTGGAATTCTAGGTGCAGGATAAAGAGCTTGGCGCACAGGAATATGGGGTTTTGGAAGTAGGATGTAGGCTCTTAGGCTTAACGACATCTCAATGCAGGTTTCGCAGGGTTCAGCGTCTGGTGTTTCGATGTTGCTATCGGATATGTGGAAGCCGACACACTATTTTTGCCGTCGTGGCCGGAGGTGCCAAGGAGTGTTGTTTGAAAGCTTATTTGTCGATTCCTTGCACCCTGCGCTGACAGCTTGGGAGGGGTTTCATGCAAGTGATCGAACTGAGTCATGTTGTCAGGCTTTTGGTTGAGGAGTTTGGTTCATGCCTTCGAGGCATTTACGGTTTTACTTTGAGTTCTATATATATAGTAGTTTCCATTTTCTTTTCCATTATCCCTATATAACCCCTGTATAACCCCCTATATAACCCTACATATCCCTTTAAAGGGACCTAGACTGCCCTCAATGACATGGAAGCTAGGCAGAGAGCATCTCAATCCGTCGAGGAGCTTCGCTACGCGAGTGTGGCCAGGGCTTTTGGCAAGGAGTTGGATGTAGCAGGGATCCCAGACTGAGATGGGGATTGCCTGTTCCGGGAGGTATGCAGCCTGGTTTTGCCGTGCAGAATGAAGTTTTGTGCTTCCGGAGATTCTGCGGCATGAAGTTGAGATGTGACAGCCTCAGATAAGCTGAGCTTGCCTCTTCTCAATTCTGGTTTATCTACCTTTCCGACAAGGGATCATTGGCAGGTTTCCCAGTCCCGCTTTTTGGAGGGCGCTAATGGATCGGTGGGCTCTACTGATTAAATGATCTCAACTTCTGCACCATCCCCAGGTTTTCCGCGTGGCGGGCCCGTACAATCCCCGGGAGCCAGCTCTCACGGGCGCAGATGGTCACCATTTTGCGGCTGCGGTCAATGCCTGGGCCCTGTCTGTTGCAGGATTTCATGCTTCAGTGGCCGGGCAGTCGTACTGGTACTATGACAGCAGCGACAACGAAGATCATGCTGCTGCAGCATGCAACAGCAGCCAGCGCGGAACTGCATTGCAAGTTTCAAGCACCAACAGTTCTTTGAGTTTGAAATACACCGAGAAACCTTACCCTAAGACACTACTAACCCTAAAGATGCGGAAGCCGCTGTAACAAGAGCAACATCTGATGCTTTCTTTGATACCACTGCCCTTACTAGCCACATGGCCCTGACACGGCAAGAGCCAAGACAGCCGAGGATATTTTGATGGCAACTGTTTTCCAGCCAAGCTGATGTGCGAAAACCCTCGCTTTCTGATGCTGCTGCTGATGACGATGCCGCGTTTTTACGTTGCTGCTGCTGTTAGTACCTGTTCAGATACACATAGCAGGACCATTCTTAGACGGCTGCCATGACTATGCATCTCCGGCATTGCGCCATTGCTTATGATTGCTTCCATGTTTGTACATTAGCATTGCTGTGATTGCCAGCGTTGCGCTGGTGCATGGTTGCGCTATTTTGATACCATGGCCATCGTTTTCATCGTTATCGCTGCTGCTGACCCCACGCAGGTCGCCGAAGGCGAGGATGTTCACTTAGAGGTCACAGTAGTTGAGGAGGCGGGGAGATTGGTCTTTTTGCATTTGCTTCAAGTTTCATTTTCCTTCGGCCAGTCTGACGTGTGGGCGCATTGAGACAACAGGGCTGGTGGTTAGTGTTGGCTGCCGGCCAGGGCCAAGAAGATACTGCAAGCACAGCGTTCTTGTGATGTCTGAGCGGTGTGCAGACTTTCTTGCAGACGCACTTTTCATGTGAGGACTCCAACAAAAGGATCCACCTTCCAGAATGGTATGTCTCCATCTTTGACATCGAGGTGCCCCATGCATTCTATACCTGCGCGATGTCAACAGCTACAAGAAGATTTGAAGTACACCTCAATTGTTGGGACCGTAGAAGTACATTGGCAGAGCCAGTGAGGCTCGGACCGCGCCCAGTCGACGCGCCTCACGCGATCTTTCTTGTACCCGCGTGTCCTTCAAACTTCCAAACCTGGAGAAGCTTGGTGGTGTTCGCCGTCCAAGTCCTCAAAATTAGAGGGTTTCCAGCATTATTTCACCTCTCGCAGGATCCGGTGCCGGCACTCTCTGCACCCAGGCAGGTCGAGGTAGTGGGTGCCAAGGCCAGCCACTGCAGGTAGGGCCTTTAGGTCCCAGGGTCCCAGGGTTTGGGGTAAAGACTTTTGAGAACAGTTTGTCCAGCTACGGCAGCGTTGTGGCTAGTAGTGAAAGCGCTCCGGATGTTTGTAGCCGCTGATGGGTTCTCCTTTGAACTCTGGGTATGGCGAGGGTCCTTGGAGGGTCAAATCATGGCACCCGTTTGGGTCATGAGTGTCAGGAGTTCCATAAAATGCTGGGCATGACGGAGGGATATTGAAAGTAACAAAGCCCAAACTTCCTAGTTGAAGGTGTAGGTGAACGCAAGATGAAGAAAAGCAAGGCAACACGAGCATTGCATGCTGTTCTCATGAGAGCAACATGTAGGGGATGGAGGATTCAGGACCCTAAACCCTAAACCCTAAACCTAGTCAGTGCTTGTGACTTGCAGATTTAGAAAAGGTGACTGGCTCATGTGATGGGATTTGGGTCCTGAAAGCCTCGAGGCGTCAGAGTCTCAGGATCAAAGGGATTATAGGGTATATACAGGGGTTATCTGGGGAATAATGGAAAAGAACATGGAAACTACTATAATATATTAGGGGATATATTAGGATGTTATGGACTTGGGTTCAGGGTTTCTGATGAAAAGGCCCAGGGGCTATGCAGGTTTTCTGAATGAGGGGCATTTGAGCTTAGGTCTGCCGTCTTGAAGCCTTTCAGGCTCTCAAGCTTTATCCAGAATCCCTGCACCTCATAGATCGTCTCTTTATTTTGAGCCTGATGTGAGACGTACATCCTTGGCTTTGGCAAGCACGCATTCATGATTGTACTAACGGGCCTGTGCTGCCGCACAACCATGGATTGAGTGGGTTTGGGTGTCCACCCCACTCATAAGTTAGATTTCATTAGTCAGGGCAGGGGTGGGAAGTGCTGGTTTTGCATGCGAGTGATCCGTCTGCATGGGGTTAACGTCTGGAACCGCCTCCGCAAACCGTGCCGCAGGCACTAGTGACTAGTAACATGCCAAAATCAGCTTCGCTGAGTTTTCAGTCCAAAAATTGGAGTGTGGTTGCAAACCTCCCTCTCTGATGCAGGCGATGCTTGCACCCAACGGCACGCAGCTGCCTCTGAAGGCATGATCTTGGATGCAGTTTGAGGTTTAAGGTTTTAGGCTGATACTCGCAAAATTGGGATATAAGATTTGGGCCAAACCAAGCTAAGCAGTCATCCATGAGGCCTCCCATAAACAAATCCATAAACCACAGCCCCTGCTTCGCAGGTCCTGGACTGGTCATATTGAAGGGAACATAACAACTAGCTTGAACTGCATGGATGTGGAGTCCAATCCGCAACGCAAGGGGTGAAAGTGCCATGAATTCTAAACTGGGGTTCGAATAAGAGCAATGACGGGCTTGCTGTCACATGCACCCAAGCTTTCTTTAGCGAATTTCTGAGTACGCCCTACCTGCAATTTTAGCACTAACCTTATGCACTCGTGTATGAATCTTCTGCCGTATAGGCATTGGGTCTAAACTTGGTATGCAAGCAAATGTACTGATGCATGGCTGGGGCCGCGATGTTGTCCGAGAGCATGTGTATGTGAGATCAAAGCTTCCGGCGCAATCTCGGCTTACGACGAGTGTTCCGTAACGAAAGGCTGCTTGCGGCTGGCCCACTATGGAATGCTGCAGAGCAGGTAACAGGTTGACCCCGCTGGAGCAGCATGTAAAGGCGCTTAACTTGGAGGATGTGGGCATCAATGACAGCCGCTGCGCAAGTTGGTCCTCTTTTGGTTTTTTGTTGGAACACATCATTAGTTTGGTCTCCAGCAGTAGACAGTCTCAGGCACCCTGGGGGCTACCATGCAATTTCCCATGTTCGTGGTCTCCGTGGCGCAATTGCTGAAGATGACGGAGGTTCGGGCACACGAGATCTTGAAGGGCGAAGGCATTGCCGTCGAGTATGAGGAAAGCATGGGTAAAGCCGCTTTCATCTCGCACGAGTGGGTTGGTGATGGGCACCCCGACCCTGAGTTCAAACAGTTGAGCGTTCTTCAGGATGCTTTGACTTACATGATGTCTGACTTGCAGCAAATCCCCGCCGACGGCTTCACCGAGGTCCACTGCAAGAAAAAACCGTTTTCCACGTCGGCTTTACGAACGCAAGCTCTGTGTGTGTGGTACGATTATTTCTGCTGCCCACAGCTTGGCCACCAGCTCTCTCTCTCAAGTTCAAACCTCTCAGATTCAGAGAGCGACCTTAGCAAGGCCGTTGCGAGCATCCCCGCATATGTGGCGAAGTGCTCGTTCTTCTTTGCACTCTGCCCTGTCATTATGAGCGAGGAGCTGGGGAAGGTCTTTTCTCCTCAGACATGGGCAGAGCGGGGATGGTGTCGCATGGCACTTGGATCGATTTCAACAGTTTATTTATCGCATGATTTGTGAATTCAAGAGCTATTTGCTTCCTAGATCATGGCAAGGTTCTAGGAGCAACCAAGGAAAGAACGGTCCACGATCTTTCCAAGAGTGACGGCTGGTTCATGATCAAGAGCTGGTCAGAAATTGAACTCGTGGCATCCTTTGGCGGCGCTGTTGGGGGAGCGCCTGGTTTTGGCAAATTCACGGTAGGCAGTGATCGCAGGAAATTGGCACCAGTTTTGAGCGGTGCCCTGAAGTGCAAACTGCAAACCTTGCTGAAATCTCTCAACCTCCAAGATTACCGAATCTTGGCAAGCTCCCGTTTTTTGCACCGAGTAGGCTTCTTGAGGGAATCGGAAGGACGGCCGTAGAATTAACTCCTTCTAGTGTTGCTAAGCAGAACTGACTTAAGCTCAGCAGTTGAAAAAGCAACCTGCTTTTGTCAAGTCTCCACGTCTGGGTAAGGAGTATTGCTGAACATGCAGAACAGTATTATGCAAGGTCTGCCGGCGCAAGAGTTGGCTGAGCCACGTCCGGGCTTTGCATCTGCGAAAGGCTTAGATGATGAGTCTCTCGCAGTGTCTGCTTTCATGTATCAAAATGGCTTCGAGCTGGTACAGGAAGTTGACGATGCAGGATGGTCGCCCCTACACTATGCTGCCCTGGCTGGCCAGACACTGGTGGTGCAAGGTTTGCTGGCACAGCGCGCGAACCTTGACTGCCAGACGCAGCATGAACAACCTCGAGTGGGAATTGCTCCAGGGACGACTGCCCTGACCATATCATGCTTTGCTCATCACAATGACGTTGCGAAGTTGTTGATCGCTGCAAAGGCTACGATGGACTTAGGCTTAGTTCCTCCCTTGCATTACGCTGCTCACGCAGGCAACTCAGAAGGCATTCGCGTGCTGCTAGATGCTGGCTATGACCCTTGCACCAGGGACTTCTTCGGCCTCCATGCCTTGGCTGCCGCCTGCACCTTCGGCTCATTGGATGCGATCGATGAGCTGGTTTCCCGAGCGCGCATGTCCATCAAACCTTCGGACGTCTCGATTGCCCTCTCGATAGCTTTGGCTGCCTACGGAGGCACAGTGGACTTGGTGCACCGGATGCTGGATTTACAGGCTGATGTCAACGACTCCTGGAGCGTGCCGCTGATGCCGACCTCTGTCTTTGAAGTTTGGCAGGCCATCAACACCCTTGAACATCAACTGGGGCATGACACAAGCTCGACAAGATTCCACTATCATGCACATGGTAGGACACCGCTGATGGTGGCAGTTATGTGTGCGCAGTATGAAGCCGCAGCCGCACTCATCGCAGCCGGAGCCCAACTGGATATGGTGAACTCCAGGCATCCGGAGAGGGTGGGCAAAGGACACGGCCAAAGGTCAGCCACCCTCGTAAGGCCTAAGTAAGAAGGAAGCAAGGGTTCATTCAGTCTTTACGTGGCCCTTCTTTGTGGTTCACGTCTTTGCAACATGGTACGCTTCTTCCCCCCGTAACTACCCCTTGACTTCAACAGGCAAAAGTCAGCTGCTGACTTTGCCAGAGTGGAGACGATGCCAGACTTCCTCAGGCAGGCCTTTGAGGGGGACACTACAGGCTGCAAGAGATTGGCAAGCCTTGCGACCAAGTATGTTGAAATGTAGTTGCAGCCCGCCAGTAGATTCACAAACTTTGCATGTGCATCGTTTTTCCCAGCGGCCGCTCCTAGTAAAAGGACATACCGGCCTGCACCACACGATGCTAAGCATCGCATCTTAGAGATGCCAAGCTGCTGAGCATTCAGCAGGTGGAGCGCTCGGGTTATAGTTTCAATAATTCGGGGTTTAGGGTTTAGGGGTTAGGGTTCAGGGTTCAAGCCTTCAGCATCTAGCGACTAACCACACAGCCTTACCAAATCACGCCCAGTGCTCCCGCCTAGATTCGGAAAAGAAGGATGTACATTTTTCATTCTGCAAGAGCTTCATGGTAGTGGCAATAGTTGCTCTACCATTTCTTCTCAACCACCACCGCTCAGTGTTCTGTACTGCGTACTACTTCCACTGCTGCTAGTAATCAGTATTGCGACGATGGCTACTACTACCAGTTCTATTGCTGCTACTGCTACGTACTCCTGCTATTGCTACTCTGCTACTAGTACCGGCACCATTGCTTGCACTATGACATTACCATGCCTTGCAATATGACCACTACTCTTACTATTTCTATGATAGCTTGTAGTTTTAAATGCTATATTGGTACTGCCGTCACTTTTGCAATGACTTTCATATGACTGTTGAACCTGATTTGCAGGGGGAGGGGGTGCAATAAAGTAAAGCTTTCAGAAAGTTTTTTCTGGAACCCCATACTCGATTTGTCGGCTGTCAACTAAGTAAAGATTTTCTGCTAACAAAATTTCCTCCCCAAACCCTAAGCCCTAAACCCGGTTATGATGAGGCCAGAATGCTATTGGCGTTAAAAGCCAGACCTTGAGACGTCAAGGTGAGGCTCTATCACCTTTGGAGCCAAAGGGAAATTTATGTAAGATGTGGGGTTGGTTTAGGGTTTCGGGTTTAGAGTTTGGGCTTTGGGGTTTAGGGTTTCGGGTTTAAGATTTAGGTATCTGATGCCACCAAAAATCAACCCATTCCTTACTTAACTTCTTATTGGAACTAGGCAATCAAATTCCAAAGCGGGTAGTCCAGAAGGCCCCCCGATTCTCAATAATCTAAATAATTTGGGGGGGCTCAATTATGCAAAGGCTCTTTGGCGGGGTTTATGGTGAGGCGATTCGAACTTGTTCTTAATGGCCTCTTTTTCGATGTATGATTTTAGTGGAATTCGAATTAAGGGGTTAGCTTGATCTTGAACTGGATTTCAAGTTGTATTTCATTAGATGATTTTTTTTCAAAAAAAATCTGTACTTTCAATGAGATTGTAATTTGTTTTAATGGGGCTTACCGTAGAGGGCAGGCCGTTAAACATAAAGGCCAAGCTCTGGTACCGAGGACTCTGCCCTCCCCATTCTCTTCAAATCTAAGCTAAGGAAATCAATAGAAGCCGAAGCCGAAAGATCTCCCTTCCTTTATGACCTATCATGCTTCCTACTGCTGCTGGTAGGATGTTTGACGTCATTTTTTTACCGCTATTACTTCGACGAATATTAATATGATTATTACCACTACTACTACTACTACTACTACAACAACGACAAGGGAGGAGGAGGAGGACGACGACTACGACTACTACTACGACAGCTACTACTACTACTACTACTACTACGGCTGCTACTAGTACTGCTACTGCTACTGCTACTGCTACTGCTACTGCTACTGCTACTGCTACTGCTACTGCTACTGCTTCTTCTTCTTCGTGGCGCAAGAGTCCAAAGGCTCCTTTGCGTAGTCGGCAAGCGTGTCTCAGACCGCTCGGCTACTTTAAGTAGCTACCCAGTTTTGGGCACCATCATGTTGCAGCGAGCCCGTTCCGCAGAACCAAGCAGCTCGCTAAAGATTTAAGCGAGTCCTGGCCGACAGCCCTGCAACTTGCCCTCGCCTTTCGGCGGAACCATTATCAGCTACAAGGAAGGCAGCTACTGTGCGTAGCTTTTTGTATCATCATATCCACTTACAAAAGACTGAGCTCCAGCATATCTGTACATTTGGAGACACTATTGCTGACGGCATCCTGCACCAGTCATTCCCTCCGAGGTGGACCTGGCATGTGGTGTCACGCAGTGGTATCGGAAGAAACTGAAGAAACTGCGACCACACACTCGGCTTGACATTGACATTTTCCTCCGGTCGCAGAGAGATCATGGCCTTCGTCCGTCATACACCCGAAAGCCAAGTCGATGCAGCTCTGTCTTGTCCACAGGGCTGAGCATCTCTGAATTGCGCACATGGTATCCGATCAAGACTAAACGGTTCCCTTGCCAACATGAAGTAGCATGACGAACTCTGGGATTGAACGAAATGAAGGGCCGGGAAACTGGAACTAATCTGCCCAAGAAACCTTCCATCTCATGAACTCCAGTGCCGTCTTCCAGCCACAGCTCTCCATTCTCAAAGTCCGAGGCCGGCACCAGAACGTTATGAATGTTGGAAGCGTTGTTCGAGTCTCGGTGAACTCCGGAGCGTATGTTCAAGGAAATGCCTGCTGACGTGAACCATGCTTGGGGTGCCACACTCCTCAGCACAGCTGCTAACAAAGCAGTAACCATCTCGAACCGCCTGGAGTTAGTCATGACTCCAGCTGTAACACCATGAATGAAAGCTCCAGTCGAGAAGGAGCACGACCAGGAATCTCCTTGCGTAGACCTCTGAAAATTACGGGTGCTGGACGGCAGGTGCTCAGTAAGGTATAGCAGGTCCTCCTCCCACAGCCAGCGATCCCTCAACGCTCGGAGGGCCAGGCCCTCACTCGCATTCTCAGGCTCCGGGCGTTCCAGGTGCAGCTCCTCCGAGACATATAGATTGAAGCCCCGTCTAACAACTGGACTGGCTGTCGGAGATGGGGAGTATCCCTCCAGGCTGCCTGCTGAGCCCAACTCGCCAGACTCCCCATGCTCGCTCGATTCCGAGGGAAACGTAGGCTCCGACACATCAAGCATCTCGGCTCCGGGCAGGGCTAAGCCCAGTATGGACGGTGCCTCCAGCCAAAGCAGCTCCGCCCACTCGTCTTCTCCAACTCCTGGGGGCCTATCCATATGTGGTAGATCTGGATCCATGTTGAGCAAAAGGCCAAAGTGCTGCGCGCAACCACCTTCAGCTCCTGTATCCAGAGCCAGCCCAGATAACCCATGCCCGAGTCGCCCGAAGAGAGCCTTGAAGAACCTCAGAGCGCGCAAGTGGCGTATGTCCATGATAGCTCCCGCTACGTACGCAACTTGAACTTTTCCTCGGCAATGTCGAGGTCACGTGTGGAGGTTGCATGCACGAATACGGCAGCACTACTCTTCGGCAGACTGCAACAGGCCCAAAAAGCATACTTGCGTGGGGCGCAAGGAAAATCACCCAAGATGCTTCGAAATTTGCGTGGCCATATTTGACCGTGGCGCTCGGTCAGGCTTCAAGGAGCATCCGCACAGCTGCAAAGCGCTATTCATGCATAGGGCCCTCAGGCCCTCAGGTGCAACCCAAGCTTCATCGCGCTGTCCGACGCCAAGCCAACCTGAAGAAGAAAGACAACGCTCTCCCCCGTCATAGCATCCGAGATCGGCCTCACCGGGTGAAATCTGCTCAAAGCGTAGTCGCCCGTACAATGCCGTATCACAGCCTTCAAGTGGTCCACTAGCACGGCTGTCGGAAGCCCTGGGGAGGATTTGACCGGCAAGAGCTTTTTCTGCTCACCATCCCAGGCCAACACAGGCCAGAAATTCAGATCCTCCGAGATCCATCCGTGAGCTTTAAACTCCGCCAGAGCCTTTTCGTCCGTCGGCAGTCGCTCCACCCTGCTAAGTATCTCTTGGAATAAACACAGGATGAGTGTGCAGCGCATCGGCTTATCCAGCTTCTCCGGATGGTTTCTCTTCAACTCTCTCCGCCCAGCTTGAACTTTGTGCAAAGCTCCGACGATGCTAGCCTCGCAGCCTATTCTCGCGTGAACTACAAACGAGACTTCAGCTCGAAGCATATTTAGCCCATCTTCGTGTCGCAGCGCCATGCGAGACAGAAGAGCCACCTGCTGTTCAAGCGCAGCAATCCGGCCACCCGACTTTTGATCCCTGCTGCCTTGGCTCCATCCCCAGCTCTGCCAGCCGTCATCCTTGTCGCCGTCCGACTTGGGGTTGGTCTTGCTACTCGGCGCAGGCTTGCGATCATTCCCCTTCCCCCGGCCACCTCCTTGGCCCTTTTCATTCGAGCGAGGGTACTTCAGGGGGTTCTCGTCGTCCTTGGAGTCCAGCTGCGAAGCCTTGCTCTCCATGGCCTGTTTGCCGCTGGGCATAAAGCTGTCGAAGAACGCCAGTTCCTGCTGCTGCACCGGATCCAGATGTTCCGTCATGGCACCGCCAGGCATGCGACCGGTCAAGTGCAGGATGCTTTATGCTTGAGAGGACCGGACCAGAAACAGCATGTACGCATTTTGCTGGTGCTCTGCATGCAGTCCAACAATTCTCGCAGCGATGCCGTCGTCTGAGTATCCCCACTGATTTCCTTCGCGTAGAAGTGCTCGGTAATGTCCGGAGGTAGGCCTCACGCCCAAATGCATGACAACCGCTCGTACTCTGTATGCTTGCTGCCGTACCTCAACACCCTCAGAGAACTCCGGAACCAAAACATCTGAGGCCAAATCAATCCGCGAGACGTCCTTGTACCCATTGACATACCTGCCAACTTGAACAATGAGCGCATTGCCGACATGTGAGATCGCTCTGACCGCCTCCGCTGCGTGCCAGCGAGCGAAAGCCTGCGTTGGCGTCCAGGGCTCCTGCGCTGGAACCTCCAGAAACAGCGCCGGGCCACCCCTGTCCACCACTCTGATGCCACCCGGACCTACCTGTCTGGCCTCCCAACGAAACCATGATGCCGACTCTGTCGAGAGAAATGAGAGCAGAAATTCCGACACATCCCTCTGCGTTGGACCAAAGTCCCACCTCGGCAGCGTACTTCTCATAACGAGCTGTCTGGAGAGCATTAATATGTGACCCCGATCGGCACGCTGCCTG